TCTTCGGTGGGTGTTGAATGAGTCAGAGTATCTGATGAATCAGTTACTCTATTTCTCATATGATTTTGACGCTTAGTAATGTCAAATTGGAGCGTTGGCGTTTGACCAGAGGTGGAATAGAAGGGCGAGAAGAGGTCGGATGGATCGCGAGGGATGACTAAAGATCTACTGGAGATAATTGGGAGAACTAAAGGTTTAAAAATGGGTAATATAAGTGTCTAAAGAGTCTAAAGATACGAGCAAATACTAGTGGTGGTTAAAGGTGCTAAAGGTAACTAGAGGTGACTATAGGTGACCAGAGGTGATCCGAAGGTGGTGGTTATGACAGAAGACTAAGCGTGAAGAACTCTATAGCTACAGGCCAAGCCATCATACATATACTTGCTTTCCTCCCACTAGCTCATCATAACATAGGCCCTAAACTAGTGCCAACAAAATAACCAATGCCAAGAACTGTTCTGTTGTCATAGCAACATCAGGAGAAGGGTAAAATTATATACTAAAGATAGGATGGGAAGGAGAATCCTTACATTCATGCTGAGCGTCATGTCTGTTTGGGGCGCCGACTGAATGAGCACTTCGGTGTCATTGCTTCGCATCTATCAAATAGCAAATGCTCCTTATTTATATTTTGGCGCCTTTGAGAGCAAGTCTTCTGGCTATAAAGTTTTTGCTCCATCGATTCTAATTCGTACAGCCGTTTTCGTCAATTGCGAAGCTATGAGCGACGTGTGAGACATGAGTTGGCACCCCCGATAACACTACTGGAGCGGACTTTTTGGCGGGATCAGCGACTTCCTTCTTTACAACCTCCTCGAGCGCCATCATCCTCTCCTTGATCGTAGATGTGTATTGTGACATCACTGTCCAAGCCCTTTTATGACAGTAGAACGTCCTAACGGCTTCATTGACATCCCACATTGTTGGTAACTCCTCCTCCACCTCATCCATGGCAATGAGTATAAGCTTCTTTAGTAGATTCCCCAAAATTTCGAGATTTTTAATCACGGAAGCTGTTTGCCATTTGCTACCGTTGTTAGCAGTCGCCATTGTCTCTTTTTGCTAAGCTTCAGAACCGCTGAATTCACCCGCGCCTACCATGCTGCGATAACGAAGGTTGAATGACTGGAATAGGTTAAAGAAAAGATAACAGATAGATTGATGATGTCAAATTGATTCGAGACACAGCATGTAAAGCTATGTAGCTCGCGGGAAAAAATGGGGTTCTGTTAGTTTCCACTATGAAATCTAATTCAGGCCAAACAAACGCACAATTTTTTGAAATCAGATTATTCCTTCATTTGTCTTTGTTTTTCAACAGAGAGCCATCTATAGGCGTCCTAAATTGCCCTCCGCACGCAAAAAGCGTCAAAAATGATCATTGGACAACTCCTCCATGCCACGATCAGGGTTGGTACTGATATGATCGGGTCAGCCAAAACTGTCACAGAATTCTTCACCCAGCCTCCGTCCCTATGGACGAGCTGGTTCGTCAAACACTTTACCGATGAAATTCAGGCGTTGGAGAAAGTATTATTAACTACAGAATCGCTGCTTACAGCTACCATGAAAGCAGTTGTCCGCCAAAGCTCTGTCAAATTATGTAATCTACGCCGGCCCTACCAATATAATAACCATATTTCTGTTGGCCGTTGGGTAAAATAGACAGTTTTCAGACTTGATAATTCTCGGTCTAAGCATCCTCATCGCGCAGTACATGGCAACTGATCGGCCGTTATGCCACCCGTCCTTACTCGCTCTGGTGGAATTAAATCGACACAGGCAGTGACAATGAGGTTGGATCAAAAATCTAGCTGCCCAGGTGTCATTTACCTGGGCAACTATAGCTGGAAGAGGACACCAACCGTGCTCCACCACGACTGCTGGATACGTACCCCTAGAGCCAGCCAAATTTATTGTGGTTGTAGACGGTTTATTTTCTTTGTACACGATATCCATTTATCAGTCATCACTTGCGACGCGTGCATGGATGCTTTTTAGAATTGGAATAGAAATCAAGATCCGCCAATACAGCCGCAGAAACGTGATTTGCAGTTTTACGTTCTTTGCTCCGTAATTAGGAAACCCGAAATTTACAAAGCCGCGGCCCCAAGTCTAGACGACCCACTATTCGTCCGACTATACAAACAACACTACTCAAGACGGCTTACTTCGCCTGGGATTTGCGGCATATTTAACCGTAACTTCCACAATGAATCCAATGAAAAGCTCACGTCTACAATATTACCTCGAGCTTCGTCTTCAAGGTGAAATATGAGGCCGGAGTTTATCCCGGCAAACAACACTCGATAAATCTAGCGGGTGGATTGGAGATGGAAGCCTCCCTAAATCCCGTGGACACCCGATCATAACGGTTCTAGTGGCCTTCCAAAATGCTTCCTATTCAAAGCTACTATGGATGATATGGCGATCAAATGAGTAGCCTGGACTACCCATAAATCTCAATTCATGATTCATTCGCACGGAACGGCTCATCTCTGGCAGCCTATTGTCCCTTGGACATCGGGGAACTAATCTAAATACATGTCAGTGGTGTCTCCTACGAACCTCCAGCTCTCACCATAGAGTCTGCAAAGCCGAGCTTGAGTAACAAAGTCCTCACTTTGATGAGGATTTTCTATTGATTTCGCAGTCTGTATTGTCTTCATCCCTCAACGCATCTCCCTATCACCACTTTCATAAAGCTATCCACGATCAGACTAGATGGTAGGGTGGATTTCCTTCGCATCACTTACCCTTGATCATGGAGGAAAAGCCATCCCATGAGTTTCCGAAGCGTGCCCGGCACCCGATACGGAGATGGTGGATTGGATCAAGTCGACCTCGATTGTTACAAAGACGGGAGATATAAATGAGTATGCGCACCTCATGTAGCTCCGGTGTCTAGTCCTCGCCTAGCTGGGGCGGCAGGTTTTTTGAGGCCTTTTCCCGCGTATGCAGCTTCCATTGCTACCATTTTTGTTTCATCTGGGTAGAAGGTTCCGTGGAAAGGTGGCCGAATTCCATGGGTAAAGGCTGAGCTAAGTGGTTATTCATCACAGACAATATATCAATGATCTTACAAGTAACAAAAGAGGATAGGAGCACTGTACAAAGTGTGGCCTGGGTCAGAGAGGAGCTGAATGTGCTAGATTATCTATGACTCAAGTAGTACAATAAATACACCTCTCTCTCTCCCTCGGACATCTGTGCCGCAATACTGCCTCTGAGACTCCGAGTTGGGCCTAGCAGTTGTATATCAACCACACCGATCTACATCGTAATATAAACGTTGCTCAAGGCTCCACAAATCCGTGACTATACTTCCGCAATAACCTGCACGAATCATTCATCTTGGGCGCAAGATACCATGCAAGTACCACCTCAGTCATTCGGCCGAAACTCTCTGGCGATGCTAACACGTACTACTGCAAGTGTAAGAGCTTGTAGTGGATATGTTGACTCAAGGTTATGGAGTGGCAAGTGGTAAATCAATATGAACAAATGATATCTGGATAATAAGAGCTATCGAGGTCTACGAGGTATTTTACATGCACATATGAGGTTACTGAACCCTTGCCTTATTTTTCCTAGTCACCATCACTGAATATTCTAGTATTATCCGTTCGGTAGTATCATCTAGAAGTACTTGCCATTCAGTGCCCTATTGTTCACCTACTTTTCATAGAATCAAGTGGAGAGATTTTTCTTCGCCTTCGGTGGTTAATACCCTTTCACATCGTTGTCTTAGATATCACGAAATTAGGGCCTGACTCTCAGGATCAATCAGCATATAATTGTGATATTCATATTTGAAATTAACCCTTTCGTCGAGGAATTGGTTAAATGGGTCATTGAGTAGTCTTTCATAGACCTAGTCACTGCTCCGTTCTCATCCGGAAGCGATGACCAATTTGAAGAGAGCCCTATGCGCTCAACACCAGTTTTTAATGGCGGTCTGAAATACCATATCATGTAAGAAATATGGTGGAAATGCAAGCGGACGAGGAGTGACTGGGCCAGAAATCCAAAAGGGAAACTCTTCTATTCTTTGAGTCTTTGTTTTTTTGTTACTCTACCACTTCATTCTTGCAATGCTTTCCGTACCGCTTCGACTTAGATTTTAGTCCTACAGGTTAATTAGTTGGGGCTGCATACAGTGATCCCCATTACTCATACCAGTCCTGTACTCATAGTGAACTTGAGCTTTAGACTAAGACTTTAATACTTGAGAGAAACAGGTATTGAGTCGAATCGATTTTTCAAGTTCTTTGAATCATGGCTATGACACAGTTTTAATTTCCGAAATTCGTAGGCATTGCCCCAAAATTGTTAGTCTCATGTGTTAAAATTACAATTGTTACAGAGCATCCAATGCCTTGGAACCTTAGTGTACATTTACCAACTAATATCACTATCTCGTATGTTACACCTATTCTTATCGAGTTTAATCAGTCACTTTTATTACCCAGCAGCTGTTTGCGCCTATCTTTATATTTACTTTAAATACTGGAATATTGTACAAATCTAATTTTCTTATTTGTTGGCGAAGTCTTGTGCCAACTCGAAACTAGTTTTTGGGATAGTAGCATTTAGTTAAATATTTGAAATCCCCAGCCCATCTTACTAAAATGGCTCTTCTTGTTTAGATTCAATTTAGGTACACATATGATGAAGTGTATAGCCTTTCAGGAGCGTTGCATGAGATAATTTTGCCAATCAATTGGCCACCTAGAAATTGGTATTCTGAATTTATGGCAGAAGCTCCTCAAGGAAATAGTGATCATGATTCGAAATTCGGTTACTTTTTGTAGGCGAAGGTTTTGGAAACAAGAAATTTTTATTTTGCAATAGAAAATTGGTAGTAGAATGAATTTTGAAAGACTTGTTGCCCAAATAAAGATCAAACTTCCAAGACTCCTCTCATTGCAACTTCGTGTAGACAACGGGATATGGAACATAAGTTTCCACGGTACACTTTCTGCGACTGATTGGCAGCATTAATTTTGCGAATATATCTGTCTTTTTCGGAGGTGTACGGGTGTCTCTCCTTCAGGAGTATTTGGAATTACCTTCTGCAGATTCTGTGATGCAGTCAATTTATTTTGAATTCTTTTAACAGGTATCCAGTGAACTAACTAAGCTGTCGAAGACACACTGGTTGAGCTTCCACTCAGCTGGTCGGCAGTGCCAGAGTTGTTGATTGTTATTTTCTAGACAAGACCAGTGCTTTCTGAACTCATCCAGGCAATGTTTGTTCACGTCTTCGATACTAAGAGAATAGTGCCGTAAGTATAGGATTCAATATCTCAAGATACCAGTCACTTTCTTCAATGGAATTTGCTATTATTCAAGTTGACGAATCACTTGGTATCGGAAGAAACTGGGCTCAAAATGGCGATATTTTACTCACACGCTCCTTGCACATCTGGAGACCTTTCTTCCTTCTTTGAGACAATTAAACTCCCCTTTTCCAGGATTCTCTGTCTTGCATTGCATAAAGTCATCATTATAGGGCTTACACCTAGCTCCAATAAAGAAGCTCGCTGATAGTAATGGTGCAGAACTACTGCCAACTTCTTTTACTGGTGGTATGTCAGCCGGAAGGGGTGCAGTGTCAATTAACACAGTTTGGTTAAATCTAGACACACAGGATTAGCTTCAGTGAGCAGCCAAAAGACTTCGCTGGCTAAACTCACTGGGGCTGTCTTGCTGCCATTTCGCGGATAGATTGGATGTAGGAATGCGATTGGGATATTGGGCAGAGAGACCTGGAAGTGTACAGTCCTGTTTGAGGGATGAAGAGGCTAGCAATTTGATTGGCTGACACATATTATAAACGACAAGGATATAAAGCTTCAATTATAATGTTAGCCGTCACGCGTGACAATGCGACAGATTAGTTGTGCATTTTCAACAGAAGCTCCCAAATTTCTAAAAATTTTGATTCTCGAGTATCAATCTGTGATTTCTTAATGAGATAGCGTGACATATTTTCAACTACTCTGCTAGTCCACCGTCCGCTAGACTTTGGATTTTCTGTTACAGCCCGCTCAAACTTATCACAGACAAGCAGTGCTGATTTAAGACAAGAAGATGTCTACAAACTTTCAACCAACGGGAAGTCTCTTCGGACAGAGTATGCAGCAGCCTCAACAAACAAGTGGATTATTTGGAAACCTTGGGCAGACTCAACCGGGGCAGCAAGCGTCAGGCTTATTTGGTGGCTTTGCGCAGCCTTCTCAGAATCAGCAGCAGCAGGGAGTTTCGTTTGGGACATCTACACTGGGCCAAAATAATCAGCTACAGCAGTCTAGAAACTCATCGCTAGGCTTTGGTACACAGCAGCAGCAGCAACTACCAAATGTGTCCATATTCGGACAATCACAGGCCCAGTCACTCCCGCCACTAGGGCAGGGTGGGATCTGGCAACCAAATGGCACAATTAGTTCTCGTAGGAATTTGAGCTCCTGAAAGAGTCAGATACCCTTACTAATAGTGAGGCAGATGAAAAGAGTGTACCGGAGCAGATGGCCGCCGTCGTTGAAAAGTGGGACTCATCGAATCGCAATTGCGCATTTAAGTATTACTTTTACAACAAAGTAGACGATAATATGGCGCCTTATTACCGTCCTGGACCAAACGATGATCCGAAGGCTTGGGACGAAGCTCTTTCAAACAAACCAGACAAGGGCTATATACCTGTGCTATGTGTGGGCTTTGCCCAGATGGGGGAAAGGATAAAATTGCAACAACGCAATCTAGCCAACTTCAATGCTCGTTTACATGAAATAAATAATTCTCTATCCCGCATGATGCAAGATCACGAGACGCGAACGAGTATTAAAGCTATGGACGCTAGAAGGAAACATACTATTTTGAAGCAAAGGTGTATAGCTCTAGCAACAAAAGTACAAGTATTGCGCAATCGTGGTTACGCACTAGGAGGTGATGAAGAAGATCTTAAGATTAAACTACTCGCGCTAGAGAGACAAGTTAAAGATCCTGCTCTGGGTGCGAGAGGTGAAGAAATATGGGCGAGGATGTTAGCGGTACAAGATCGAGCAAACCTCTTGAAATCCGAAATTGGAAAAGCTGGGCAGGTAACCAGTACCATGATGGGAGATGAATTAACTCGACGTGCTAAGAAGGTAGGCCACATGAAACTTTTATCTTACTCTTAGCTGATATGTACTAGATATTAGAGGATTATTATACACAGCTGAATCATTTGAGCTCGGAGATGGAATCGATAAAAAGAGATTATGAAGAATGGGTTAAAGAAAAAGGGCATACAAACGCTAGCAACTAGGACGGTTCACGAAATAACTGAGCCTTTCATTTACCTGAACTTCAAGATATGAAAGGTCTTCTGTATTGAAGCTAAATATGTACAATACAGGCTTATATCTATCGGCGCTTCCTAGAGAAATGGAATCCTACATACGGCCACATGGGATTCACGGAGCCATAGGGTTAGTCATGACGAAACCTACTATAAATAATTTCAGGACTCTATGACAAACTCTGGCCTCTAAAGTTGCTACCCTTATTCTAGTCTACGACTCAATAAGTTATGCTGGCTATATAATCTTGAAAAATACTTTATTCCTCCGGACGCATGATATAGGATGTAAGCTACTTAATTTGTAAATAACATCGTTGTCGAAATGAATCCCGTTATATGAAAGCAGTTATTTTGGCGCTTCGTTCTCTCCGACCACATCAACTAAATCGGTGGGACAGGGTGCGATTTAAGGGAGCAAATCATGCATGTGGATAAAGTGTGCGGGTCTTCTGAGGTTCTGGCAACTCGAGCAGTGAAATTAAGATCTTTCGGTCAAGAAGACAGCTCGCAAACCATGCAGAAAACACTCTATCGCAAGCAGATATATTGTTGACAGTGTACAGACGTTAATAACTCATTTACGTATCTCTGCATCTGGCATCACAATTTATAGATCACATCTCAATGATCTACAAGCTGGGCTTTTTATGGCTGGCTTCATCGAGTGTTTGTAGTATGGATAGAGGCCTTAATGCGGTCGAAGTCTCTGTGGCTTAATGTGTTCGGCAGTTGGCGCTTCCACATTCCTAATGTTCGAGTACAAACTGAGTCAGGCTGGTTCGGACAAGTTATCAAGTACATGATTCTCGTACGACCTGAAAGACAAAATCAATCGGGTCTCTTTCTTTAACTGGATCTCTATCGTTTCAAATCTATGACACGATCAGAGTCTTGTGTAAATTTGTATGGCTTTTTTGAATTCAGAGGCACTCGCCCTCTCGATTTCATTGGCGAATACCATCAGATGTGCCTGTTTACCCAGAATAGCCGATCCTCGTCTGTGAGTGCCCAACAAGGAGAGGATTTAACTTCTCAGAACTTCAAACATTACGAATTATTTGGTTGAGTTCTGCTAGGTTTGATCCAAAATCTACCTAACAGACCGGCCCGGATGACGTACCACTGCACTATCTTGCTGTGTCGGTGTTTATAGTGTTTCCTGCAATCTCACTATCGAATGCTCGGCACACACAACGTTCTTCAATTCATAAAACCCTTAACAAAGGTTCGATATCTCATCTCTCTAAAGATTGTATCCACCCTTAGCACTATCTTGACCATCTCTCCTGGTTTTTCTCCCTGACATCACAAAGAACCGCACCCAAATTTTGTGTACAACAGTTTATTTTCTCCTGCGAGGGCCGATGTTGCCGAAGGCTTACATTTAAAGGCCAGTTAGGGACAAAGGTTGAGTGAGCGAGAGAAATGGCCATTTAAGTGAGGATACACTAAGTCTTACTTGAAGAATTGATGAGACTACAGTCGGATGGATCTGGTTGTGGAGAGTGGTGAATGTAGTACAGAGCATGACATCATGATCTCGTGGGCCATCAGCTACGGTATCGCGAGATCAGGCTAAGCTCTCATCAGGAATGTTTCGCTCTCAGAGACTTGTAGGATAATAGTGACGGGCGTCAGCCTCTCTTCAACGAATTCTCATTCTACGATATGCAGAGTACTAATCTGGCTGATTACCCCTGAAATTTCGGCAGAGTTGGGCTACGGCCCGCAATGCTTCAGCCTTGCATGACGATTGCTTGCAGTTTAACAAGCTCAATGACTAGAGTATGACACCTGGATATTTCGGTATTCTGATCGGTGTTGGACATTCGGATGGACCGAGGTTCGACTATGCATTAATCGGTCACCATGTCAGGCTCGGCACTGCTCGTGCTTAAGCTTCCAATGGGGCGTGGGAATGTCGATTCCGTAGTACTCCAATATACATGCATAAAAAAGGAGACCAAATGTTGATACTTATTTATGGTGTTCCGTACGTGCCTCTATCCACTACCGAATATTGCGGGGCCAATCTTGAGCCCAATGATTTTAAGATGAGCTCCCATCGATAATCAATTCAAAGCATTCCCTATCATCAAAGATAGCTCATAGTAGTTGGGCTACTTAAAAGGAAAAGGTCTCTTTCAAGACTTTTCCAACATTTTGCAACTGCCCTCACCTTCCCCTTTGATAGGAGATATGAGGTGATGTAATTGAGGGACTTGTAGTGACAATTGGAATGTTGCGGCGTGCGATGATATGGCATTAGATCATCAATTGCGGGGATCATTCGGGGAAAACTAGGGTATCATTGATAGGGGTAATATTATTGTTTTCCTTTCTCAGTCTATGACTTTATGGGACATGCAGGTACTCTCTGCCTGTAGGCCAAGGGTACCTATCTAGTGGTGTATCCCCTCCGATACCTCCTATCCATATCCCCTCACCTGCTCCCAGTTGATCATATAGATAGAGGAGCCTTTTGCAAGATGTAAATCGTAGACATTCATTGGTGCAGGGCTGCCGGGTAAAATTGCAAAAGCTAATAGGCGCGGGGCTCTTATAGCGAAATTGGAAGCAAGTCGGGAGACACAGTGACCCTTACGAAGCGTTCGAAGAGGCCGGCCGTCCGGGCCTGCAGGCTTGCTAGCACCTCAGGAATTTCACACTCCGCCTTTCTTTCCTCGTCCTAACCCTTTTCCAAAAGTCATGCTGAAATGTCAGAAAAGTCTTAACAGATCGTGATTGCTGTGTGGCGGCTTATCGCAACTTCATCTATACCGTTTGGGATAAGGTTGAGCGACATGAACTCACCGACGGCTTAGCTCTACGCTAATTAGCCGAAATCTCGGTCTTGGCGCCCACAAACGTTGCAAAGTTGGAAACACCTCGATGTCATCCCCTTTTAGCCTCACGCGAGATCTCTTCAATCTTACATTCCACATCCCAGTCGCCTAAGTCATGAAGTCCCACTAGAGCAGCAGTTCCCCAAAAATTAGTTCTCGAACTTTACAATTATGACTTGTCTTCTCTTTGCGGGTAGGCGTAGAGTCATGATTTCAAAATGGGCGATGGCTGGTAATCGTTGGGGCAAGCTCCTGGTTGAATTTGGAGAAACAACTTGATCGATCTTTGAGACGAGTTGATATGTTATTAAATATGCATTAAAGACGCAGATGAGAATGAAAAGATCGGCAGTAATGAGAAGTTGCCGATTACAGATATGTTAGTGTTTGCTCTCAACTTTGATTCGAATGTGATTCTTTTTGGCTATGCCAGATACGCTGAGCATACCAAGCAATCACATCGGCACTGCCTGAAGGTGAATAATTCGTCTTTGCTAGCTGAATTCGAGATTGTAAAGGGTATCGGCTGATTCGATACGAACATCAGACAAGCTCGAGCCTGTGTGCAAATTTTATTTTGTGTGAGGATGTCTGAATTTGTTGTATGGTGAAGTCGTGAAGTCCCTGAAGGTTGAGGTTTCGACTAAAGTTTTACCAATGCCACTTCTCCCGATCGCCGTTTCAGTGCAAACCCCAAAAACCAATCAAGGCCGTGACCGATTATATTTACATTATTCTCCCTACTAAGTCTGAGACTATGAAAGACTTTAAGGATCTAGCTAAGACTCTTGTTTTAATTTATAAATTTATAATTGAGATATGCCAAACTTTATTTTCATACACTTGATTTGGATGCTATTCGTATCATGCTTACGGCCTACATCCAAAAGACGCGGTATGGGCAGGTGATCAATGCAGACTCACTGTAACCTTGGTGCATGGCTATATTTGATATAAATTATTCTCAAATATATTAAGGTCTAGACTATTAGACGTGACTGAAGAATGGTATTCAGCCCTCATCCCTTTATATCGAACTGAAATCTTTGATCTGTTTGTTTTCTTATTTACGTCATTCCAATACACAACACATTTCACTCCGACTCGGCTTAAGCTCTTGACGGAGGTCAGAAATCGCCATTAAGAAGATGTGGCAGGAAAGGGATCAGGCAGTAAGCGCGAGAACCTGACCAATGTGAATTTTCATTTAAGTTTGCTTAAGCGGATTTTTTCAAAATCTGCTGATAAATTCTTCACCCTTTATCGGAGTTCACGCCTTTGGAATAAGTTTGACCTGTCCCCTGCGATTCCCGCTTGCTCCAACAGTCCTGTACATATGTTAGACTTTGAGTATTAGCTTTAGCCCCAATAAATTAAGAAACACGTCTCACAAAGTCACGTGTTTGTTGGCTCAGTCTAGAAAACGTTCAATTGTGCCGACGCTCCTAAGATCCTGGCATGCACCAACTGTGCCATGGCCTTCATGCAAGGTACTTCATTCTCAAAATACATTAGCAGTACCATTGCTCTAAACTTTCTAATAACCATGATAGAGACAAAATAATTATGTAAATCTAGACAAGGGGAGAATAGGTACTGTTGAGCAGGCTTTGTAACTCAGTGGCGATGGCGAGGACAGAATGGTATTAACCTGTTGAGGCCGGCTTCGGGTTTGTTGACAGAAAGATGTTCGTCATATTTAGTCCCGACCGCCTTTCCTCTCTCTTAGCTCACGGCGGCCAGCACATTAGCCGCGAAGTTCGCGCTGACATGGGCCGGAGATTTGTGGACGGCGGGGGCATGAGCTGTAGTGGTCCTGTCTTAGATGAGGGTGATCGTACTGGGACTGACTGGGGGTCAGGGATCGGCCTCGAGTTGATTTTCGGAGTCTAGGAGCGAAAGGTTGTGAAGATGCTAGGCACCACACTCTCTCCAGTCTATTGGGAAGGTGAGGGTGAGGGAATTGGATAGAAAGAGAAGACCTGCAAGTAGAACCCAAAGCCTTTGCTGTAGGGCCAAAGACCTCGCTATATTGCTGCCACGTCCACCAATATTGAGGCCTAGACGACGACTCTCTCTTCTGCCCACACGGGTTTGGCAAAAGGAAGAATTTGGCCTATCTGTCGAAAGGCTCACTTTGGGCGAGAGGGTAGACACGCGTCGAGCAAAGTGGGTTTGGAATTTCAACTCGACTGCAAGACCCGCCCAGCTCGTTTGCCATGATGTAGAGGCGGAATTCTCCTCGGCCATCAGCGCACGCGTCGATGCGCCTCTCCGCAGAGTCGAGCCCCTTTTGTAGCACAGACGGACCAGCGGATGCACGGCGCAGATCTGCACCTGGGGTAGAGGATCGTCGGCTGGAGTTGTGTAGCGACGGTAGGCCGGGACACCCATTTGACGGGTGAGCATAATTCAAGACCAATCGCTCACAATAATGAGCCGTGTTGAGATGGAGACACATATCATTTCGGCCCTATTCGCTCACTTCCCGATGCCACACAGGGTGACAGTTTGGCTGGCCACTGCAAGCGGTTGCGTTGTCAACCAAAAGCTTTGGTGCTTAGTGGGTACAGAATGCCCGTGCTCGAGACCTTGAAGGCAGCGCCTATCTAGACTCACATGAGCCGACTCGGTCCAGATAATTTTTATTGTGGTGGGTTGGTAGTTGCGTCGCTTCGTTGACAACAACAGACCATGGCCCAGTCAGCCCGAGCCGACCGTGCAGACAAATAACTCCTCCGCGTTTCAGATTGTCTCGTCGACCGGAAGTCATATTCAATTATTATCAAATATCTTCGATCGAAGCAAGGATACGACTTGCACTCGCAAAACTTCAGCCGCACGGCACAGCGTCGTAATGTATAGCCCGGGTCTGTTCCTGCGCCAACTCTTTTGGTCCCACCTCGCAACAATATATCATAGATCTTTCAAGTAACAAAAAATGATAGGAGCACTTTACAAGATGTAGTCTGGGTAACAGAGAAGCCCAACGTGTGAGATAGTCTGTGACTTAAGTATCACAATAATCAAACACTAACTCGCACCTCGCAATCGGCACGCGAATGTGTTTTGTAGGCTTAACGAAATCCCGGTACAAGGCCGTGCCGCGCTCAGTGCGGCTTTCCTGAACAACGTTTCGAGCATCTTTAGGTCTCTGTGGCTTGCACCCAGCGCGCCATAACGTACAGTACAGAAGCACAAGCGCATGCCCAACTATGATGAGATTGGATCGGACCTGGATAATAATTTTCGCCGTAAACCCTGTGTTTCTTTGACTCAAAGCTCGTGTATTATTGTCGTGTGCTTCATTTCAGAACACCTTGTCCATTAGTATTCTCCTTCACTCGCCGTCGGCCGTGCTACATTGAGATGATCATCCGACGAGCCTGGTTTGCTTACATTATAAATCCTTGACAAATCCGCGGAGAGGCTAAAATTGGGGTCTACATTGCATCGCTGCATTCGCCACGTTGCCTGCCCGGAACAGAGCCGCAGTTGGATCGCGAAGGTGGATAAGCGCCCTCCCGACATAAATTTAACAGCTACCGTCAAAGGGGTTTATCCCTGTTGACCCCACTTGCTGCCGAGCGTGGACGACTAGGGCCCAAAATTAGATTACACTCGTGCTCTGACTCGAGGTTGGCGAGCTGTCTAACGGGTTATTTGGAGAACGCCATACCAGGATAGGCCTGAAATTAAGGCATTATTTCTTACATGTTTTCATCATCACTTCTTTGCCTACAAGTATGTGACAAGTAATACAGCTTTCGGGCAACTTTATGCAGTTGACACACTGGGTCGTAACATGCTATGGATGCGTCGTCGACAAGGTCACAGCTTAGCAATTTGGGTTCTGCGTTGGCATATGCAGTCCGCCTTCAGTACTTTCAACTTTCCCCGTGCCGTCCGGACAGTTCAATAACAGTTCCGCCTGCGACAAACTAGGGTTCGACGGCCTTACCGTTCAACTCGTCCTATATCGATAATATTCCCGTTGCACGCACATCAGGTTTCGGCGGTAATGAAGTGACGGACTTGCCAGAAGCAAATTCCGTCGATCGATCGGACTCTGATCGTTCAAAATTTTGCGGTTGCGGTGACTGTGTCGATGGCATTCAAGAGATATGTCAATCGCCCCAATATTTTGCCGTAGCCCAGTACGAGCAAGTTCGGATAGATTCTCTGTGAGTGTCGATTGCTCATACTCCTATCAGCGAGAATAAATTGAGACGTTTTATCATAGTAGCCCGACTCCCTCTTGTGTTATTCATTTGAGCAGTTTAGAGCAGGGATCCTAACCTGCGCTTGTGCGCAGTTCCTTGTCTTATGCTGCGGTAGGTCCTAGCCCGATAGGATTGCTTTTTGTTTCATGAAGATGAGAGGAATGGGGTCTTTTTCGAATTCATCTGTTGCCAACATTAATTAAGTAGTTGGCTCCTCGTGTGTTTATTCGAATGGGTCGATTTGCCATCGATTGGGGTGGGAGGGGTGAGTGCCACCCGCAAGGGCGCATGTTTCTATTTGTTCGTGCATTAAAGGTCAGCATCAGACCTGTGATAATGATATTGTCGTTTGAATCAATTGCAGACTCGTTGAACACATGATCACACCATTCTAGCAGCTGGCTCTTCTCGTATAGCCACAACTCATATTCGCCATGCTACCTTGCGGCGTGGTAGACGGTAACGAGGCGAATTGTCATTAAAGGAAAAGTGTAGTGAACGTGCCCTTCTTTCGTCCTGTCACCTTCCACTTGGACCTCCTCCCGGATCATCATGTGGTCACTGAATCCTCAGGCCAACAAAAAGTCAGAGCTCACGTTCGGCTTGGGTCGACGAGGATGCTGGGGCCCCGAGACTTCAGAGACTATTGCCCGAAGTCACTTCATCCAACTTCCTTAATGCTGACCCCGTTCAGGCCAGGCCTCTACACGCCCTGGTACATTGTCCCCTGACCATACCATATATTACGCCATCACATGACATGCCATCCCATCCTTATTGATCCCATACCTACCCTCTTTACGACCCGCACGTCCGCACCAGCACACTCAATGGTCTAATCATCATTCCATGCCTTGTCGCCCCAGTCTATAACGATTTCTGTCTTTTCATGTCCCTTCTTTATTGAATTTGTAACATTCGCTATTAGTCTCTTTCTCTCCCATCGATCCATCAAAGAGAAGAACATCACTCTCATTACAATCCTAATTCTACGTACGTCGATTCGCAGATTTGATCTGACAAGAGTTACATTTTAACCTGACGTCCATTACGTGTTTCTCCACCGCCGAACGCCTTAAATATAATCAGCTGTGTGGACTCTATGCTGAGTGGCGACCTGAATTAATACAAACTCGTGAGTAGAAAGTTTACGCAAGTGCTTCGAGACAGCCACTTTGTTGATCCATGAGTCACACGAATAAAGCATCTAATTTTTATACAGAAGTCACTCATTAACTACCATACTGCGCGTGATCTGCGTCCGCTCATAGTTTTCTTGTCTTCCCTTTATTACATTGTATACTTTATCTGGCCACAATATGTCTAATTTACTCTCTCATGACGAGTTACACGGCTCTTCAACCATGATCAATCTCACCATAGCATTGATGGCCCTAATATCAATTATCATGTTATTGAGTGCGACCCTCTACTTCATACGCACCAGTCGCCGTAGACGCGCCCTTGCTCGTCAGCAGATACTCCCAATGCACGAGAACAGTCATTCAATGAATTCTTATCATCCTAGACGACAGCAGCGCTCTCAATACAACTCCGAGAAACAATTTTCGATGTACAGTGAAAAATCTCTTCCCGGAAATTCGTTCGATTCCTCCTCTGAATCTATCCCGGAGATCCGCATCACCTTCCCAGATGAACAGGATGAAGCTGGGCGCCGGAAAAGCGGAAGAGTTGTTGTCGTACGCGTCGGTGAGACTGGAATAGGACTAGAACCCCTTAAGCCTGAGGATCAGCTCCCTGCCTACGAGGAGAATAGTGGTGGTCACTTTCACTGTGTTGACATGGATCGAATTGGTGGCTTGAAGGAAAAGTCTGACTGGTACCAAAAATAGCGTGAATAAATGCTCATTCGACTTCACTTTCAACCTTCGAATACCACGCTTAGCCTTTCGTTTTCATTATATCCTCGCGGAGAATTTTAATGCCCTTGCCCCATTTTATTAGCCTGTGAGACTAGCACGGCTATTACTTCTACTGTTTATTTCATACCCAGGTAATTTTTTGTACATGTTATCACCAAAAATCCCGACCGAAGTTCCAGTCATCTCATGTCCTTTATTCCTACGCATCTAGTTCATTGGTCACGGTAGGCACCAGGCCTGTCGCCAACGATGGTTGGCCTGATGAAAGGGGAAGCTGGCGCCTCGGGCGGAGGACACCGGATCCCTTGGTATGGTTTCTAAAAACTTGAGCGGTTCCGAGGCGCACATGGAGTTGGATGGGCCTTCTATCGCCACCGGACACGAGGCCAATGCGTTAGGCTGCGCAAACGAGGGGTGTAACCTGGCGCAGGGGTGTGGAATATTGGATTAGGAATATGAAATATTTCGAATTGACACATTAATTTGAGTCTCACTTGTAAATTTTCTCAAGGATCTGAAAGAATATTTTCCTACTTCTCACTTTTTAGCTGGCCGTAAATCTTGTACATATATCAGCGCAACTACCAACCTGGACATTTCACCATCAGGGCGAAGAGCACGCAAGATCATACAGATGGAATTGAACTCCGCGGTAACTATAATTAGGAGTTTTATACGTTACTAATAACATAATTAAACTCCACAATACAAAAGAACTATTGGTGCTGTAATATGACCCTAAGTTTCTACAATCTATACACATTGAAAGCCTTCCGTTCCCAATGCTGTGATCTGCTGAGCAACCAATTCAGCACATAAGAAAATAATTTATTGACCAGTAAACGCAGATACAGGATCTTTTTGTAGTCTGGCCTCACACCTATCCACATTATTTGCCATAACTTCACAACTCTTATGATTTGTATGGATGTGAAGAGGCGTTAGTCAATAGAGTTTGAATGTTCTCGAGAGGTGTTATCGAGACGGGGTAAACTTCGTGGAAGGATTAATCATTTCACCATCGTCTGCCAGCACCCGTAGGAGCAGAATTCGTAGCTTTGTATCCTCCTACCATCGACCTTGTCAGTTTCGTCAGTCAAACTGTGCTTTTACTTAGTTTCAAAGCAGACTTACCACCACGACCACCACCGCGCCCACCACGGTAGCCACCGCCTCCTCCTCCATATCGACCGCCACCGCCACCTCCATAGCGGGTCATTTCTGCTAGCCGAGGGTCGATCTGCTGCTTTGCCTCAGTAAGAACAGAAACGAGATCTCGTGCCTGCTTAGAGTCTAGAATAGAATTGTTTAGCTATCAGCGAATTGATACCAGGGGATACACTTACTGTCAGTGGTAAAGAAAGTTATCGCTGTTCCTTTTTGTCCTGCGCGACCTGTACGACCGATCCGATGAATATAATCCTCAGAGTTATTAGGGTAGTCATAGTTTAGTACATGGGTAATGTTCCGGACATCTTTATTTACGGGTCAGCAAGAATATGAGAAGGGGGGTAAACTGGATCATGGGATCTAATAGTGGACAAGCACTGCAATGCATCCAATACTCTCTCGACATCAGACATATACTGATCGTTGCGAAACGCACGCCGGGGTGTGTTATCCAGATATCTAGGTCCTCTGATAAGGAGTCTTGGAGGCAGCTGAAAAAATACGTCATGTATAAATTCCGCTTCTGGGGAGGAAATTACTCTTAGGGCGGACGAGCGAATCACGACCATACCGTACGGAGTTTCCAAGACATCCTTGAGAGAACCGCGAGAAACGGAAGAACCCGAGCATCTGAACGCAAGCTAAAAGTCGCCGTAGCGTCGAGAGTTAAGCACTACAGCGTATGCTACGGTGCCATTTTGAAGGGGGGGGAATGTTATTCATACCGATACCACGAGAAGCCACATCTGTGGCAACCATGATTGGACTCTTTCCAGTCTTGAATTCGTTCAAGACCCAATCTCGTTCATTTTGTTGTTTATCACCGTGAATGGCTTAGAAAGATTAGCTTGGTACTTCATAAGTTGAGGAACATACATAGAGCTGGCCATCCATCTTGGCGAAGGAAACGTGTTATGTCATCTGCAACCCTTTTCGTCCCTGTAAATATCAATATTTTATTGTCTTTATCTTCCATAATCTTCTCGAGGTGTTTGGTCATCCGATCTCTTTTTTCGAACTCGGAGACAACCTCAACAATTTGCGTAATCCTGTGATTAGCAGACAGCTCAAGAGATCCTATGTTAACTTGAATAAAATCGTGTAAGTAATCTGATGCGAGGTTGCGCACTTCTTTTGGCCATGTTGCGGACCACATGCAAGTCTGTCTGTCCGGACGGATCTGCCCAAGAATCTTTCGGATTTGGGGTTCAAATCCCATATCCAACATTCGGTCAGCTTCATCGAGGACGAGATATGTAACTCGGCGCAGGTTAGTCTTTCCCGACTCAAGCATGTCGATAAGTCGTCCCGGGGTGGCAATACAAACCTCTACTCCCTTAGCTAGATCGCGGATCTGACCACCTTTTGGTACTCCACCGTATACACAGGTGTTGCGAATACGAGAAGATTTTCCAAACTTGGTGATTTCTTGTTGAATCTGCACAGCTAGCTCACGAGTTGGGGCAAGAACGAGCACAATCGGACCGTCTCCTGGAGCTAAGAGAGGTTGTGCATTGATGTGTACAATAGCTGGTAAGCAATATGTTAAGGTCTTTCCTGATCCTGTTTCTGCGATTCCCACTACATCACGACCTGAAAGGGCCATCGGCCATCCTTGAGACTGAATAGCAGTGGGAGCTGGAAATCCCTGCGCTTTAACTTCATTGATAACGTAGCCGGGAAAGCCAGCTTCATCAAAGTTTTCGACCGGCCTGGGAACATCACGTCCTTGAATCGATATACCGTGCTGGGTACGGAATTTGATGACATCAGCTTCAGATCTGGATGTTACATTTGGATCTTCTTTGTAAAAAGATTTTTCGAATTTAGGAAGGTTGTTCATGTCCCAAGATTGCTTTTGGAGATTGGCACCTGGAAAGTATTAGAGTATGTGTTAACTCGAGACAATAAGTTTCTTACCAAGGTTGGACATGCGGTCGCCTCCAGCGCCTCCTCCTCCAAAGCTATTATTTCCATATCCGTTACCGCCGCCACCATTATATCCATTCACATTTGCACTACTGTTGTTGTTGTTGTAGCCCCCTCCGCCTGATTGACCTCCGTGCCCACTGGGAAAAATTAGTTAACATTAGCTCAATGGATATACCATGTGTTTAGTAAGCGCCAGGGCTGTTGGTTTGGTCTGGCGATGTGACTTGGAGTTGAAATGACGGTAAATGCTCAAGAAATAAGAAAGGAACAAAATTTTATACCTGTTGGAATAGCTGCCGTAGCCAGCATCACGATTGTGATTTTCTCGTCCGTAACCGCCGGAGCCCCCACGGCCTCCGGAATAGCCACCACCATATGACATTTTGGGTAAGTCTTTGCTTGGTTGGCAGAAAGCGAGAGTCAGATCGATAGATAAGAAGAATTAGGATTCGTTGATCAAATTGCAGTAGCGATCGATTTACTTTCTTAATTATATGAGAAAGGGCTTGTTTGTATTGGTGTGAAGGGGGGATGAATTTTTTTGTGGACGAAACGAAGAAACTTATTGACATCCACAAAATTGAGAGCGAGTGAAGAAAAAACGACACATGGTCATGTGACTAAAAACATGCATTCGGCACGGGCCATGAAAAGCTTGGCGCCGAGTCGGGTAATTTGGTCCGGGTGTCCGATTGACGCGTTATGAATTACATTGTGATTGTCAATTCAGATGCACGCTATGCAACTCAGAATCTAGAAGCGATGTTTTCAAATCGATGGAATCCGAATGCGGACCACAGGAGCGCCATCTATATACCCTCACTGAATACCGGTCGTGAATTAATATATGTAACATATATTTGCATCAGATTTTAAATGCGTATGCAGGTATCTAGCAATGACAAAATGTAAGAGAAAAAGTATAAGATAAGTAATTCAATTTAATAGAAGAGTACTCATGCCTTGGTTTTCATTTGCAAGTACCACTGCGAAGTTATGGCGGCTCTTTCTTCACCCCAGGTCAACCCTCATCCGTGAATACATATCCAGGGGAACGTCTCAAAACTCCTGAGCTGTCTAGACATGCCTCCATCATCTATTGACTTTTCTCCGGGCTAAATTTTAGCATAGGTGTCTCAACTTGAGTAAGTGCCCAGGCTACTCATACAATACTGAAGGACACTACCAGGAGGCGGACTACGACACCTTCCATAGTTGGTTTGGTTTTATAGTGTCAGCTGGGCTATCGTATTTGATTTATTGACGCACACGATACTCTTCAACAGAGAATAAATATTGTGGACTATAGCTGGCAATCGCCTGACTATCTGCTATCATTAAACTAATTCAAGTGGTACCCGTGGACAGAGGTCATTAGGGCATTGCAGTCTGTCGCAATACTCTAGAGAATCATTTTCACTAGCCTACAAATCAAATATCGTCGCTTAGATCTCAAAAGGCAATACGCGAAAGAAGGCAATCATTTAAATTAGTTATTAAAGAAAAAGGTTATTCCAATGAAGATTTCTTCACTATGCAGCTTACGAATTTTACCTTCTTCCATCAAAAAACCAGAAGAACTACTCTTATTTTGTCCTTTACATGGTACTTTACAGGAAATGTAGGGCTTCTTTGCTCTTGACCGAGGACACTTATGCCTCCTCCATAATCTTCTCGAATAGTAATGGCCCTCGGAAGTAAGAGTCGATCGCATACCCAGAGGAAATATGCCCTTTTATCACATTCAATCTCGAGGAGATGAAAAGTACGATACCTACTCATACATGGCAATTTGAAAGGCATCATATACAGCTTTGTAGTCATAAAATGATGAATAATCAATAATACGTAGCAAACCATTTACTATATCTCGCCATCCTCCCTGAAGTTGAGAATTGCGCGCACATGCAGGCTTGGTTCCAGGCCCAATTTCCAGTTGCGCACTACTCGGTGGCAGACAGCTTACGAAATCTGTTGATTCGCTCTACACGATATTTGACTTCAAAACGTGGTAAAACGCAAACCAGGATGCACAATGCTCTGGTATATCACAAATTCCAAGAAATTGTTGGGTTCGATTTAGTCAGTAGTATAGTTTACATCTATCTAGGGCATCACCTTGCAACTTCAAAATGGATGACCTCCTAAATCTGGTCGGTTGCTTTAGCTACGGAATACAGAAATTTAATTTTAATACCTCTGGAATAACCAATCATGTGACACTTCAGTGGCAGGGCATTCAATCGTAATTGTATTAAAGCTGAAAACAAGATTGTTGTGAAGATTAGTGTTAATGGCTGCCAAGATTGAACAGTTCAATGAAGCCAAGGCTGAAAAGTATTATAAGTTGGGCGCGCAGTTAAATCAGGAAGACGGGAAACGAAAAACTCTCAATAGCATCAGCAGCTAACATAAGACATAAACTTTTCATATGGGACGAGGTCCAGCAGAACCTTGAAACCTACATGACGCTGGTAAATAGTGATAAGTTTACAGAGCCCCCTTTCTTCTTTCATCTACCGAGATAATACTGGATTCCAAGGGAATCAGCATCGTCATTTCGACCGCAATTTAGTATTTCTTTTGGCAGATAGCTATCATCTTCAGCGACTGGAACTCAGTCTTATTTCCCCATCAACCTTATCCCTACAACGCCCAAATGCCCGCAAAAATAATGCAATCGCGTTACCAAATCCCGTGAGACCAATCATTGGACAGTACACGATAATTGAATAAGATCACGTTGAGAATGGGTCTGGTCGTAGAAGAGGGTAATTTAGGACTAAGCGAAGGAGTGGCTGGCTTTTAAAGCGCATGGTGCAAGCCGCGAACATCCCGTGAGAGTGCAGGCAACTCTTTTATAGTACCCAAAAATAGAGCATCCGATTGCTATTCGAATTCACTCCGGTCAGACAACTGTTTAGTACCTCTTAGCCCTACATTAATTGAGATGCAATACCCCGTGGCGAAAATATAAAGGAAGATGGAGACTATCTGCGACTATCTTTGTTTCTTCGGGGTTGCGAGGTTTATAATTTGGTCTATATGTAGGAGGGAGAAAGAGTTGGGGGGACATGCAGTATCGATTATAGAGATGGTGGTTAACATAGACTCGCCACGAATGTATGGTGTGAAAACTATCTTATCTTATCATACCCGCAACCACCGATGCAGAGAAGCTCTTTTCCATATTATATCAGATTAAAGTTTTTGTTTTACCTTGAGATATATCGTCATTATTGTCTTGCTTCCAAACAGGGCTCCTCCGGGAAAGGGCTCAAGAAGAGTTAGGGTAGGACAAACACTCTTGAACCAAGTATTGATCTAGTTTTCTCATAAGCGAGCAGGCTCGGTTGTCCTGCTCTAACCAATGACACTATTAGTTCTGGCCAAGAAGGACGAGTTATTCATTAATATCCGACTACATGGTACTTGCAGACGGCAACCATTTGGGATAACTACCCCCCTAGTAATACCACATAACTCGTTGGGACCAGAGAGGAATGTTTGGAGTTCATTGCACTAGTTGAGTTATGAGATATCTAGCACATTGTGCTCATCTCTGAACCAGGATACAACTTTAAGGGACCAGAGGCGTGATACGGAGACGGTAGGAATAGAATAGATATCGGCTCGATGGAAGCGAGAGAACTATCTCATCCTCTAGAGTCTTTGGCCTCAACTATTTGTGAAGCTTATGAGCCATAGAATGCCTCAATAGCTTCGAATTGCTGTGAGTAGATGGTCTATCAGCCCACTGGCCCCATACTCGATTAGACTCTCGTCCAGCACTTCACTACCCAATCTTGACGGGATCAGAAGAAAGCTGGTGTGCGAATTGGCTCACAAAATGCTATGTACATGGGTCAAGTTGAGAACTTTCCTTACGGGGAATAGTGTTTCGGGAAAAACAATGTATTTACAGATTTTCTCTCTACAGGAAAAAAGGGGGATAGAATTGAATGATTTGACCGACCCCTCACAAGCTTGTGAATTGACCATCGGTAGTGTTCCGACAGATGGCTCAATGCGGAAGTTTAGAAAGCTGATGAATAGACCTCCTGAGGGGTTCCAGTCTCCATGCGAACGATGGATCCCCGATGAGTGCGAGAATTTTGGAGACAGAGATATGTGTAGTGCAGAGGGAGAAGACACTAGGAAGGTCAGTGGTTGGGCTATATAAAGACCAAGTCATAGACGCAGTTGGGAAGCTATCATCTGTTATGATTACAAAGCCTCACTCGGTAAAACACCCAAAAAGCCAACTAGCAGACAGTGAATTGTTATGCATAGCCAAATACTAAAAATTCTAGGAGGGCAAGACTGAACACTTGTACGCGGTGTGCTCTACGAACCTGGGAGTGAAATAATCTCCCAGAGCCAAGTTCAGTCAGATTTCGCAATATCGAACAAGTTGGCCCACGAGGCAATGATTCAAAATACTCCACCATATTAATCTTTCACTCCCAACGAAATCGATTCCTACCTAAGCCTCATCAAGTCTACAGGTACGACCAAGTACATCCTCATTCCAATGACCACACCTCTCGTCGACTTTCTCTCGCCTCAGCTGGTCATCAGATACGCGCTCACGCCGATATTGACACTCGCGGGAGAAAGCAAAGCGTGGCGCACAAATCTGGGAGGAAGTTCATTGGGATTGGCGTGAGAAGAATTAAGACAAGTTCACAAGATGATGTAAAAGATGGAACAACCTGGACAGGCATAAAATTACAAATTTTGGCAGGGAGATTTACACATTGAGCTTTGTGCGTGCCAAGCCTCCGGTTGCGAGAGTGCAGGCGACGCTATAAAAACTGCCCTGGTTGGATGGTGCGGTGGTACATCATCTTGGCCGGTCTGCCAAGTAGAGTTTGGAAAGCTTGGACACATATCCCACTCGAGACAGTAGATCGCTGGTTCAAATCCAGCAAAACACAAGCACATTTCTCGCGGCGCTGGTATACATGGATGACGAAGGCATGCTTGGATAACCAAAGTTTTTGAAACGCCCCTTTGGTGGGTACTAACGGAAGAGGGTCGACTGTTTGTGTAAGCTAGCATACCTCATAGTGGTATTTGCAAATGAAATCTAGAGTATGAGTGTCTCTAATGTCAAAAGAGTCATCCTACATGTATACATACTACCGGTCATGTGTCATAGCTAGACAGCTGAATACACATTAAATGATTGAAAAAAAAACAAAAAATTATAACCGATGCACCCGCAGTTACCAAGAGATTCGCAGGAAGTTTGGCCTACTATCCGCCACTGATATAGACAACCAAAATCCCAATGGCGCAAGATCTCTATACTCGCACAGTATCACGGGGACCCTCTGACCATTCCTTGCATTTGGGATCAAGAAATGGCGAGGAGAA